AAACTCCTTATTTGTTGAAGAAGCAACCTTATTGTCAGCGCATCTCGCGAATCTTGCCTCTAACTATGAAACTTAGGTTTATTTCGGGAAACTTAAGTTAAGAAAAGTTCACGGAATTTGAAATTCCCAACCCTATAGTAGGGTGCTCTCAGGTTACTCTCAGTGATTGCAAATGTTGCCTCCAAATTTCTCCAGAGGCCCTTTAAGTTTTCAAGATGACGCTTTTATGGTTTTTCAAATTTGGAATTAAATTTTATTTTGATAAAATTTGAAATTACCAACCCTGTAATTGGGTGGTGTCAGAGTACACTAAAAGGCTGCAGATCTTGTTTCCAATATATGACGTTTTTCATGAGTTGTCTAAAAATCGAAGCACCGAAGGTGCGTTAAACGCTAGTTCATTTTGATATGTTCCATATTCTTAAGGTTCCCTCTTGTTTTTGTTAAATTTCCTTCTTCCCCGCTTGACAGGATTCTTCGGTTTATTACACTTTCGAGCGAAATGTGTTAGTACGAGCCTTCTTCTTTTCTAACCTAGCTCGCAAATAAAAGAGTTCATTAAAGGTGTTCAGATATTTGTAGGCACTTTTGCTATAATCACGATATTTAGTCTTGGAAATTTGATAGGATCTGCTTTATTTGTGGCTAGTAATTGACATTTATTAAGCATCTGTGGCTGAGTGGTTAGTGCATGAAACTCATAATCTCTAGTTTGCAGATCTAGTCCGAGACGTTGCCGAATTTTTACTAATTAGAGGCTTATGTCTTCTTTTTCCTTTTGCACTTTATAGAGCTGCTTTTTGTTCTGATCTTGCTTGTGTTTGCGCGAAGCATGGTTATCTTATGCATTAGTTCGTAAGGCGCAAAGTTTATTACGAGGTCAAACTGTGTATTTTGTGAATTGTAAGCGGATACTAGGTTTTTTGCCCGTAGATATTTTTGTTTATTACGAGGTCAAACCGTGTGTTTTGTGAATTGTAAGCGCATACTAGGTTTTTTGCCCGTAGATATTTTTGTTAACAGAATGATCATTTTAGTAGGAACGTTAAATTTCACTTTGACATGACCAATTGCTTGAAAATTTAAATTTTACTGCTATCATTTAGGTATTGGTTACGTGAAGATTGTTTTAGGTAGTAATTTTTTTAAAATTCTTGAAAGCTATATATTTTTTGTTCATGGTTTTCGTCTTAATTTTCTGACAATTTTTTTTTCTGTTTTTCTTACGCTTGCGGTAATCCGGCGTTATCAAACTGGAATATAGATTTTGTTTCTGGTTAACTACTAGTTTAACAGAATCATTTGAATCCTTTCTTTTACTTCTCTTCCTATCTTCACTTCTCTTCTTACCTTATCGTAAAATATTCCTGGCTGTTTCTCTCTTGGCCTGCAGGTAAAGCAGTTGCCTTTGTACCCTAAGGTCTGGGGTTCGAGTAGTGGCCGGATCTTGTTTTTTTTTTCAGCAATGAAATTGGAAAAAAAGTTCCGAGAAAATTGAATTGTTGGTTTTTCGTTTGTTCGCTTAGATTTTGTCGGCTAAATTGCCACAGCGGATTTTTCTTGTGCTGTAGACAGTTTTCGTTGTAGTTGCAAACGCAAGTGTTGTTCATTCTAATTTCAGGGGTTACTTGAAAGATTAAAAAAGAATAAAAAAATCTTTTTTGTTTTTGTTTTAGTTGGTGTCTGCTCAATGGTGGTCGACTTAGTTGCCACATCACTGATTTTTTTTGCTGTTAACAGCTTTCATTGTAGTTCCAAGTGCTGTTCATTCTATTTTCAAGGGGGACTTGAAAGATTTTAAAATTAAAAAAAAAATGAACTTAATCTTAAGTTGAACTTGAATTTTTCAGTTCAAGTAGTTACAGCTCAAAGATTATTGGCCCATTTGCCACATCACTGATTTTTTTCTTGTACTGCAAACAATTTTCATTGTAGTTGCAAGTGCAATTGTTTAAGGTGGGACTTCAAACTTTTTTTTTAATAAAATCATATTTTTTTCGGCTTAACTTGTGTCTGCTTAAAGATTGTCAGCTTTGTTTCTTTTCATAAATTTTGTTCCTTTGTTGTTGATTCAAAATTCAGGTGTCTGGCATATTTGGCTGGAATGAAGTTCTATCGAGAGATTAAAGTTTATATGACCTAGTTTTTTTTAATTTTTCTTTTTCGGATTTTTTAAAAATTTTTTATGTTAGTGTTGAATCTAAGAGGTGCGAAGCTCCGCTTCCTCTGTGTGTTGAATAGCATTTTGTATTATCTGGTATGGTTTTTATGGGCATATTTTCTAAAATATGGGTTTTTTGAACTGGTATTACGTAACTAAATAATCATTAATTTCGATTTAAGTCTGATTTTGAATAATTGTAATCTGATTGAAATAATTGTAGTCTGATAATTTAAGTCTGATTTTGATTAATTGTATATGTATATTTATCTTTTCGATGAAACACTTTCGGTTAGTTAAATCGGCATAGTAACTCATAGTATCTAAATACGAGGGCAAGTTATGTCTTTATGCGATAATTTGTGTCAGAAAGGTTGAGTCGAAACAGATTTGGAAATTTTATAAGTTTCTTTATGACAAGTTGGGTTTGTCCCCTTTTGTTGCCGCTCGGTAATTGATTCTTGATAATTTTTTGAAGGGCTGCTTATGAATATCATCTGATACAAACATGACTTTGTTGTAGTATTTATCTTTTTTTTTGTTCTGGTAATTTTTCAACTTAATTTTTCAGAATTTTTTTAACGAAGCTCCGCTTCTCCTCAGTAATAATTTAATGGCATTATCAGCTTGCCAATAAAAAGTTATTGAATCTCGAGAATTTTGGTTTTAATAATTTGTTATTAGTTTAAACTACCAGTTATTTGTCTTGTTGAAAGGACTATTGAATTAGGTGATCAAATACAAAAATGCTTGCATAGTTTTTTTGAGCTCAGCTGGGTTTTCTTGCTTTTCGATAAATGATGAATCTTAAATTGAGTTTTATAAATTCTTATTTTATGCCTCAGTGCGAAGCTCTGAGGCTCAATTTGATTTTTTTTTGCGAAGCTCCGAAGGTCGTAATGATTTTTTCAGAAAGTATTTCTGCCTCGTTTCGGTTCTGAGATAGATCGGTTTCGGGTAGCTGGCTGATGGACAACATTTCATTTCATAAGTGAAAACTTTGATAAATAAATTTTAAAACAGCGTCGGAACAACTTGTGAATTTTGTTTCGATCTTTCAGTTTTCGACTTTTTTCGCACAGTTCTTCGTTACCAGAAAATTCATTAGATAAGACCTTGGTTTTTCGTGCTTTGAATTCTAGCGAGAAACACAGTCTTTAAAGTTTGTTCATGCTCAAGTTAAATTTTTCGCGATTAATTTTTTGAGTTCTTTTAAAATCATTTCCTCAAACTCCATTATCCAACAGTAAATGTCACGAAGAACGTGAATGACTTCAGGTTTCTAAAGTTCGAGAGTAATAATAAATTACTCTTGATCCAGTTTACTCTAAATGGGGCGAATTATAAGAATAATTGCCTATCATAGACAATTCTTTGAATTCAATGAGCTTTAACGTGATACTTTTTCTTCGAGTTTCGAACTTGTTTTGGTTGATTTTTTTTTTCGGTTTCCTTCAGTTTTTTTCTCATTTTTCCAATTGTCTGTTTGCTATGTTTTTTATGCTGCCTCAAGCTTGTATTTTGTACTAATAAGATCACCTATTAGGGCATGCTTGTTCAATCCGAACCCTGTTGACTGAGTTTGATTTTTTTATGCGCGCTAAACAAGCTTTTGACTTCGTGGTGCTCGTTTTATTTTTTGTTGCTGGACTGCTTTTTGTTTTATATGTCCACTATATTATCTAGCAAAGGCTATCCACAAAAGGTTCAGCTATCAGAATAATCAATATGAAGGTGTCTTTAAATTTTCGTGAATATTTTCCTAATTCTCTTTCGGCTGTTTTATATTAAAAACCTCAATATTGTACCGTCAATAGGTTATGAAGCGGAAAAAAACTCAGTAAACCAAAAAGTTTTGATTTACTCATTATTTATCAGTTGAGTGTTTAGGAGCTGCAGTCGATGCACGACAAGCATATAAACAGACCGAGCTTAGACGACGATTTCTCATCCGATCACGGAATAGAAGCACTAACACAGGAGATCACACAAATGTTCTTTCACTGTCAAAAATGCATCCAGACAATCAACAGATGCGCTACTGATCACAAATTCAATTTTCAAGACAGAAAGTTAGCCAAAAATGTCGTGTCATCATTAGCTTCAAGTCTGCAAACACTGTCAACTCAATTTAAACAAGCGCAGTCTGATTATCTAAAGAAGTTGAAATCAAGAGAAGAAAGATCTCGATTTTTCGCATTTGAACCATTGGATTCTGGAACTATTGATGACAGATATTCATCATATGATCAAGGATTTTCAGACGCACAAATGCAAGCTTTAATGGACAATACAGAAATGGTTGAAGATCGAGAAAGAGAGATCTCAAATATCGTGCAATCTATAACAGAACTGAATAGTATATTCAGAGATTTAGCTCAAATGATTGTCGACCAAGGAACGGTATTAGACCGAATTGATTACAATGTTGAGCATGCATCGTTTAGGGTTGAAAAAGGTTTAAAGGAGCTCCAAAAAGCGGAGACTTATCAGAAAAAGAATAAGAAAATGATGTGTATTGTTGTGCTTGGGATCATAGCTTCAGTTTTATTTGTACTTCTAATGGCAACTAAGTTTTAAATCGAATTCTTCTTTGAACATATCTATTTGAAAGTTATACGAATTGAATGTAATTTGCATTTTTTTGTTATATGACTTTTGGAAACAAATTCAGTATTGTGAAAGCATCCAAATCCAGTTTCAGACATCTTATAAACAATTTTGAGTCCCTCAAAAGGTGTGTAAGCAAATACGAAAATGTCGATGATTTTGACGGTCTAGATTTAGGCTATCAGGATTTTGAGGTTCATGTAAATTTGAGTTTTGTTGGAATCTTTACAGATTTGTTTGAGATATGGCTTCTATGTGCACTCGAGTTTGCAGCCGAGCACTGTCGACTTCGGCAGCCAGAGGTTCCAAAGTGGCGGTTTTGGGAGCCGCAGGAGGCATAGGACAACCCATGTCTCTCTTGTTGAAACAGGCGAGGACGAATTTATAGACTAGAATATGAATATAGCTCCTTTAACTATCAAATTGGCAATAAGCGCATGAAACTGATAAATTGTTTTCCGGCTTATTATCCTTTTTTGCTAAGCTTGTATGTGAACTTCTGTATAAAAATTTAATAAGGACCATTTGCGATTACCTTTTTCTCACCTTTTTAAAACGGCGCAGTATAATTTTGGTTGTTTTACTGAATAAATAAACATGGCAGTAATGTGTAACTAGCAAAATTACACATGGCGTGATTTTGATGTAGCTAAAAACTAATTTGAATTTCTGAATTGATGTTTCAGGCGCCCCTTGTGTCGCAACTGAACCTGTATGACATTGTGAATGCCCCAGGAGTAGGAGCTGATCTCAGCCACATCAACACCAACGCCAAGGTCATGGCCTTCCAAGGCGCCGAACAACTAGATGAAGCTCTCCAGGGTATGGACATCGTCCTCATCCCGGCTGGAGTCCCGAGGAAGCCAGGAATGACTAGAGATGACCTGTTTAACACCAATGCTTCTATTGTGAAGAATTTGGCTGAGGCTTGTGCGAGGAACTGCCCCAATGCCATTCTGGGTATAATTGCGAACCCTGTAAACAGTACTGTGCCTATCACTGCCGAAGTATTCAAAAAGCACGGAGTTAGTTTACTTGATTATCATGAGTGTTCGAACTTTTAATGAGCTATTAGAGAAGAATGTGAAGGTTTTTCTTGTAAAAATCTCTTTTACTTGCTCAAAAATTAGCTTTATTTTAAAGACACCTGTTTTGTGAAAAAAGATAATCCTAGCAGCAGGCGCGGATCTAGGATTTTCTCGAGGGGGGGGGGCGGGCTTTTTTTTGTTTTTAGGTCGACCAAATTGATTTTCTGAGCTTTCCCAAATCACAATAAAGACCCTAATTTGCCCAAATTTTCTGCGCCGCAGGCAAAGTTTTCAAAAAAAACAGGCTAAAAAGGCGTTTTTATGCACTTTTTGGAAAATTTGGACCAAAAAATTGCGTTTTTTCGGCGCGAGCTCGCCCTCAAAATTAGTATAGATTGGCGCCTTTAGAAAAATTTTAAGTCCAGTCAGCGATGGATATCTCAAAATCCCTTATAGGAAGCGTCGGCAGGGGGTCAAATCCCTCATAGGAAGCGTCTGCCCCCCCCCCCCCTAAATCGGCCACTGCCTAGCAGCTTACTTATTATTATATGCCGATAAGATAACATGAAAGGACAGTGCGATAGAAACAAAAGGGTTATCTGGCTTGCTTCGAATCCATGACACTGTTATTTCTATAACACTGTTATTTAATGTTATCTTCAGGTGTACAACCCAAACAAACTGTTCGGTGTCACTACCCTGGATGTAGTGAGAGCTAATACATTCGTATCCGAGCTGAAAGGCTTCGACGCCGAGACTACCAATGTCCCAGTTGTCGGAGGCCACGCGGGGAAGACTATCGTGCCTCTCATTTCCCAGTCGAACCCCAAAGCTGAGTTCGACCAGGAAACCCTAGATAAACTGACCCACAGAATCCAGTTTGGAGGTGACGAAGTAGTGAAGGCCAAGGATGGAGCTGGATCCGCCACGTTGTCAATGGCTCTTGCCGGGGCCAAATGGGCCATCTCAATTCTGAAAGCGCTCAAAGGAGAAAAAGGTATCGTAGAGTGCTCTTATGTAGAATCGACGATCACTGACGCCGCCTTTTTCTCGACCCCGATACAGTTTAACAAGGACGGCATGGAAAAGAATCTGGGAATGCCGAAGGGTCTGACCAAGTTTGAGGAAGATCTGATCAACGCGGCTTTACCAGAGTTGCAGGCCAGTATCAAGAAGGGAGTTGAGTTTGCTAACAAGTAACTATTTTTTGAGAGTAGTGATCTGGACAAGGCTATATGGTATAACTAGATTGAATTATAGAGAAGAGTTGACTTCTTTTTTGTCCGCACATTATCATTTTATTGGGCTGTTTTCCCTATCAAAAGTGATGATTTAATGTTATGCATATTGAAATAAAACTAACTAAATTTAACTATTTTACCAGATTTTTAATAACAATCAATTTTGCTCAATCAAATAACGTTTATTTGGTTAACACCTGGCTAGAAACTGATTTTTCACAAAGAATAATTAAATGTTTTCAGATTCAATGAAGTAACTCCATAAGCCGTTTATCAAAAAATGGCTGACTCTGAACTTGTGAAAAGTGTTTTGATCGAACTTCTGGGGAAAGATCATAAAGCCGTTAAATTGCAAGATGAAAAAGTCAACGAAGAACAACTTGAAGTACAACAAGACAGCGAACTTCAAAGTGTGAGTCGCGCAGCTTACTCGTGCAAAGAAAATTTTGAAGAATTTCTGATAGAATCTACGGGAGAAAGTGAAATTCACGTCTTGTCATTTAAAACCGAAGGACCGCAAGGCTTCCGAGCCGAATTAGTGTTTCCGTGTTATTCCGTGGAGCATATGGACAATTGGGTGGAGGATTTTGAAAGAGCAAGTGGATGTGCTTTGAGGCAGAAACTAATTGAGAAAGTGAGACCAAATGCGATTGTTAATGTTCACAAGGCACGACGGAAATGTGCGTTCAAAAGCGTTCGAAAAAGTCAAATGTAAGTAATTTTCGACGCTTTATTTTTCTCTGTTTCCTTATCTAAGTTAATATTTTTTCTCGAAGAATTCATTTTGTTATTGAGCATAAAAGGAAATATATTGAAGGGTGCTAGTGATTATAGCAGACCGATTTTTAGCAGACCAATCTGTTAGCAAGTTCAGAACAATAAGCAAGTCAGAACGCTAAATTCAAACGCGGCATTGGCAAGTAGCGATTGCTTGCTCCTCTGCGCTTACATTCGGCACGAGTGTTATTTTGCACTTAAATATTCTGCCTGTTGGTTTTGCCGCTAATTTAGATAGCTTTGTTGTCAAATCATGAGATAATTGTCCTAATATGGGGCACTCAACCCAATATTGAGCGAATTTTTACGTCTGTCAATCAAGTATGCGTCAGTTGTGTTACTTTGGTATGCTAAAAGACTCAATTTTAAGATTGGTCGCCTAAAGATCCGTCACCATATTTAAGTAATATAGAACTAAGTGATTGTCACTTAAAGGTCGTGATGATTCTTTTTGTCAGGGAGTCTTTAACATTTGTTCACATTCAAGTTTGATTTTTTCGCAGTTTGAATTTTGATGTCTTTTAAAGTTCATTTCTTTTTGAATGAAGGAAGGCGACTTCCACTATCGAACAGCAAAAGCGTTGAAAGTGTTGCAGTCTTTTTAGAAATTGGTTAATTTGCAGATTAAAACAAGGATAGCCGATTGCTAAGCAATTAGCACAGAATGTTTTGACTGCAGTCTTAAAAAATACAAAAATGTTTTTTTTTTTCAAATTGGTGTCGTTTTTTTCTGCATGTTGTGATAAAAATATCTGAACGAAAAAACGAAACTTATGCTTATTTGAGAGACATAGTAAAATAGGTCAAATGAAAAACAGTTTTTGAGGAAAAATGACTAGAAAAACGAAAAAAAAAAGTTAGCGGAAATTTTTTTATTCCCAAAATTGCGCTAAAAAACTCCAAAACTACTTTTACCTGAGTAAAACGAAGTTTTCAATGCCTAAGTTAAAATTAAATAAGCTATCGTAAGCTTAAATGGCTCGCTAGCTCAAAATAAGGTCAAATTAATTGGCTCGAAATTAGACCAAAAATCAAAAATTTCAAACCGGTTTTTCTCGACACAGTGAAAACTTTTTTTGAAAATTTTAAATGTCGTTCGAATCACGATTGGAAGAGCTTTAATATGAAATATCACTCAACCCTGTTTTCGATGAATATTTGTGGTAGCTGATTTTGCGTGGAAAACAAAAAGAAAAAACTCCCGAAACACACCCGAATACAAAGTTCGGAACAAAAATTCTTTTGATTCAATTTTCTTTTAATCGGATAACATTAAAAACGCGCCGTTCATCAAACATTTTCAATCATCTTTAATTTGAAATGAGGTAAGCTAATTGATCCAAATTACGCAATAATAGATGATAATCGGTGCACAGACTTTTCGTCACAGACCTGGTCTTTTTCCGGTTTTTAGTGTGGTAGTTAGCCGACGTTTTTGAAACAATTTTGTCTGCGAACCATGTCTGGAACATCATTGCCCTGAAACATGAGAAATATCAATTGGTTTTTGACATTGCGCCTGTAAAATGGGGAATTTGCAAAAAAATATGCATTTTTTATTTTTTTTTATGCTGACTAAGGCAATCTTTTTGTTTTCTTAATTTGACAAATTTGGCATTGTTTTCAGTTACAGAAATTCCAATATTTCGCAACTTTTACTCGTTCAGATAAATATACTGGTTTCAGTGCAGATCGGTGCTACCCGGAATTAGTCAACTGTGATGCGGGTGTTACATCTTGTCTGAAGAAGGATGGTTTTGCCCATATTTGTATCGACATGGTTCATAACCACAGTCTCAAAGGTAATGAAGAAATGGACTAGTTGAAAAACAACTTGTCATTTTTACACTATTTTGTTTCAAACACCTGGAGCGTTTCTAGTTGAAGATCGGATTCCTAAATTTGACATGCGTTAGTTGACAATTTTCATTCAATTTTGCATTTCAATTTGACCGTTTTTTTGTTGGCCGAAACACTGTAAAAGCAAAGTTTATTACTTTGATTTTTGACATTTTTAATTTTCAGCTAAATTGAAAGAAGTTCAGCAATGCATAGTAACTTTCAGATGATTCGAGGATATGGGCGAGGTCACATCTGTCTCAGAAACAAAAACAACTCCTCACAGACTTATTCCGAGCTGGACTGACACCGGTGCAAGTACTGGATTATCTGAAGACAATTCCAGTGGACTGTGGTGAGCGATGTTTTCCTGTAGTGTCTAATAAAGAGGCATCAAATGGGTTTCAGTTGCAACAGAAAGACCACCCACGAAATTTATCGTACCATCAAGTTAGTACAGATCGGGTTCTTTTTATTCTGGAAACATCGTTAAGCTTGTAATTAGCAGGCGTTATCAAGTCGGAAAAAATATATTTTTTTTCAGGTTAACGTGTCTAACAGAATTATTGAATCATTTGGTGGCTTGATTTATCATAAATTCAAACTCAAAGGTCTTATTGTACACGTTTGGCCTGGAAGTTACGTCCATACCTGGCACTACAAAGTTTCAGGGTTGTAATCTGGTCAGGGCCTGTTTTTTTTTTTGAAGCTGAATTATTTCGTTATGAAAAAAAAACTATTACTGGCCTATTTTTGTGATTTTATCAGACTGCAAAAGTTTTCCCCAATCAGATTTTAAAAAAAATAATAATCATTCAGTTTGAGTTTTTCACTTGATTTGAGTTTCCGCGAGCTGTTTTTATGAATCATTAGTGTGATTCATTTTCATGAATTATCAGAACGCTGGATTGTGACTATTCTTGAAAGTTTTTGAAAAATATCTAAATTTTCGCAGATTTTCACAGATTTTTTACGCCTGAACACCTCTGTCATTTTTTGTATCGCCAGAAGTAAAACATTTTCCAGAGCTTTGAAAAAAATTAAAGCTTTCATAACTGTATTGCTCTTTTTATGCTTACTCGAATGAAAAAGTAATAAAAGTCAAAATTTTGGTCGAAGAAATTGGACTAAACGGCTTGATTTTTTTGATGCGTTGGACAATAAAAATTGTATTAAACTTATATCCGCTTTATTCAGTTGAAGTTCATTCATTGCTGCTCTTCTTTCCACTGATTAATTTCATAATGCGGTATATTTCGAAACCGCATAAACATGTTTATTTTTGATCGTGGAAGGAATTTAGATTTTCGAAGCTGTATCCGCTCAGAGCTCATTTCTATTATTAACTTGCGAGAGCAAGTGTTTTGTCAACTGAAACGGTTTTGAATGAATCTTTGTATGGGATGTGCTACTTCGCTCTTTTGTGGATAATTCCCTCCATTTAGAGGCTTAGCTTTGTTTTCAGGTGTACCATGCGTTCAAGAAGTTCAAAGAACAAAGTAGCAGAGAGTGCGTGAAAGATTTTGTGAAGATGAGGACTCGACTTGAGCATGACTTGGATGTGTTTAAATCTAGACTTTGTCGAAGTGAGATGTTGATGGCCTCTGCCCAGTGTTTTTTGGGCAAAGCGGCTCTTCTAAGCGACAGAGAGGTGAAAAGAAAGTTTTTTGTCCTTTGTTCTAGTCAAATTTGTATAGCTAACTCTGTATTTTGATAAGCAGATTATCCAGTTTCTTCCTTGAAGGACTAGAAAAAGTTGTTTTTTGAAGTTTTAAATATTTTGGATGCGATCGCCGCTTCTAAATATGTGATATAACAGATAAAGAGCTTTAAAATGGTGCAATTTGTTCTGTCGAAAGGTGAAAACATTTTGAAAAAAAAGTGTTGGTTCTCCAACTTTTGTTTTGCTTGACAGTTTAACATGTGTTAGGAATCAACTGAAAAACTAATTTCAATGGTCAGATTGTTTCTTCAATCTTGTTTTTAGCTCACAGAATTTCTGATGTCTAAGCCTCTCACCTCGGAAGCAAATAAAGTGCCACTTAATGCACCCAAAAACTTACACAGGAAGACCCCGGAAGCTATCTCAAATAGGTCACATTTAGACAACACTAGTAGAACTCAAGATTCAGGAATTGTTTCATCTTGCGAGGACGATGATCCGATAGCCTATGCGTCTAATGTCATTGCTTCCAGTGAAAAACATTGCTTTGACAATTTGATCACATTTGATAACTCGCCAAGAAAGCCGAAAATGCCTCGAGTTGATAAGTGCCACCAAAGGATGAACCACATTTATGGTGAGTAGAAATCAAACTATTTCTGTACTGAGCTTCAGAAAAAGCAAGGCAAAGCACAAAGCTTCAATGTGCGCATTATCACTTTAAAAAATCTTAATCAATTTGAGATGGTTTCACTTTCACAATTTTGGGTTGAACAAATTAGATTTTAGAGCTCGGATGTTTCGAAAGTCCCATCCGGGATTCGAACTTGCAATCTCCGGCTGCAAAATTTGACAGATCTGATGCAACTTCAGAAAAAGTTCACAACACACCACCAGAAGTCAACGCAGTTGAAATTGTGCAATTAGAAGACGAAACTGTTGAATATCCAGGTTACTCGTCGCCGATCGAGGTTGTAGATGATTTGGAGCTAAGTGAGTTTTCGACTGAAAGAACGCCTGCAAAGGAACACAGATCAAAAACATCATTGGCGCAAAAGGCATTCATGGAAACTCTGATGCTGGTATGTCTTTAATGCAACTCGTTTTTTGTTTTTCGTTTGTTTGGTCAACTTGAACTCTTAACCGTTTTCATTTTCCAGTTTCCATGATCGCACAAGCTGGTTTGTTTATTCTGTTCTCATATCTACTTTTTCTTTGTAACATGTTCTGGTTGTGTCACGTTGTATTAATTTGCAAAGCTGAGTTGAAGGTCTTGTTAAAGTTCGATTAAGTCCTTATTGAAAGAACCGCAAAACATCTGGAGGTTTTAATTAAGCCAACGATTCAAGTTTTGAAGTAAGCAAAAACGTCATCATGAAGATATATTTTTTCCTTAAGTCCTTCAATAAAGCTTGAAATGTTTTCTTGTAGTTCAAAACAGCGCGTTGAGATAGGTTTAGCGATGCGTGATAATCGATATCTGATTCTTAAACGAAGTAAAGAGTTGATTTCAGTCAGTAATATTTTGTATTTCAATCAAAGCCTTTAAAACCTAAATTTAATTAAACGCTGCAGAACCGCGTGATGTTTGTATCTTTCTAATGGTTTTTTATTCAGAGTGCTGGAAAGAAGAAAACTCCTGTTCGTCAAACTAATTTCCTAACTCCGACGAAAGCTACTCCCAAAGATATCTTCATGACACCCGATTACTCAAGGCCTCATAAAATGAAGCCCCACAACTACAACATGTGCAATGGGAAGCCGACGATTTCACTGGAGGACTTGCTGAAAACACCTCCTACTACGGGCCCATTTTCTGGTCCAGCCAACTTCACCACTCCGGGGTCCATAGCGTTTTCCTTGCTCGAAGAAGACACGAGCGTTGACAATGTAGAAAACCCCACAGAAAGTCAAAGTAGTATAGGAAAAGGGGCAACCGATAAATATCGCTCAAAATTTCCCTCAAATTTCTCTCCTACATCACAATTTTTATCGCAATTGCCTTCGAATTCAGTAAATTTGAAATAGTCATTATGTTTTGATAGGAAACAGTTATGATTTCGAGATAATATTTTGGAACAGAATTTTTGAAGTTGTCTTATAATTTAAATGACGTTTTCTAATCAGCGATACATTAGAATAATTTGCAGATTTCGCGTGTGAATGCATAACAATCAAGGTTTCAATTGTCTATTGGTCGAAGCTTCGACTTGATTGTTTAGAGTGTTGTTCGATCCCCTGGTTCTTGAAGGGTATAAAATATCTGTACTGCAGAAGAGAGAAAACAAGGTTTTGCAATTTTGGTTGTAAAAAAGCAATAAAAAACATAATTCAGCACTTTCTAAGGGTCAATGGACGAAGTGAAATCACTCATTTAGATCTTGCGATTTTTTTACTGATTTTCTTTTTCCTAAAATTTGATCACACTCAAATTTGAGTTTTCGCGGTTTTTTGCCGTTGAATATAAATTTTGTGCCTATAGGAAGACAAGTTACATGCTTCAACGAAGTGCAAATGATACAAAAAACGTGAATTTGTTTAATTTTTGATAGTGTATTTTGATTTTTAGACATCATAGCGGGGCAGTATAACAGTGACGAAGTATAACAGTGCCGAAAAAAAATGTTGTTAAACGGTGCCGAAAATTATTATGAATACTGTTTTTACGGGTGCTAGGAAATTAGACGATAAGCAAATTAGACGTGACCAATGAAAACGAATTTAGACGTTAAATTGTTTTTATTAAAAACTAGCATTTTAGACGGAAAGCAAAGGGCTAACAAAACTTATTGCTTAAAACAAATTTTCATAATTACAAAAATAATATATGATCCCATTGCATATCAAAATATTTATCTCAATTGATTTACAAAATGTTAATTTCAGATAATGAAACATTTTTGAAATGCATAAATTATACAATTGCGGCATGTGAAGAAAGCGGCATGTGAAAAGTTGATTTGCATTTAAGAAAGCTGAAAGAAATTTAATTGTATTCGGTAAACAAATTTCAGACACGAACGTCTAATTTCCCATATTTGTAATTTTGCATCGACTACTAAATTCGTTTTCGTTGGTCACGTCTAATTTGCTTTTCGTCTAATTTCCTAGGCCCCTGTTTTTACTGGTCCCAAATCACTGACAAGTAAATTAATTCAAATCGACGGAAGTTGAAAAGTCAAAAATGCCCTCTTTAATTGATGCCGCTTGTTGAACAAACAAAAATTCCCCAAGCGCATCGTCATAAATTTTATGAACAAAAAATTATTGCTGCAAATTGTCAAATTTCTTTCTCGGTTTCGCTCCAAAACAAAAAGCTCAAATAAATTGTCAACAATTTGCAAACAGAACTAAAAGTTTTCAAATATCCTTAACGGGGCTTAGGAACTTAGACAACAAGCAAATTAGACGATCTCAAAATAGCGAAATTTAAACAATAATTTGCGTGTAAATTGCGTGAAACGTGTTTGCAGACTTAAATTATCTTTTGGCTGAGTAAATACTGGTTAACCAATTTAGACAATAACTTGCGAGAAAGTTGCTTGAATTTTGTTTGTAGACTTAAATTAACTTTTGGCTGAGTAAATACTGGTTGTCCGTAAATTCCGTTTTTTCTACGGTCGTCCAATTTGCTTGTCGTCTATTTTCCTAGGCTCCATCCTTAACTTTTGGCACCGTTGAAGACATTTTCAGTTTCAGCACTGTTGTACTTCGGCACTGTTGAAAGCCCCCATCATAGCGGAATAACGAAACCATTTGTGCTAGTTTTCTCTGATTGGGTTAGTGCCATTCCCGCGTGGAAGCGGGGTTAACTCAATCGGTACTTGACACATGTTTATAATTGCCTTAAACTATTATCAATTATTTTTAATCATGCGTCAGATTCTCCAACGAATGTGGACCACCAAAACTCACAATATAATAGCCCAAAAATGAGTCAAAGTGTGAAACAAGGGCGCCTTTGCTTGGGTTAGGCTTAATTATTCATTACGGGGGGAGATTGATCAATTGATCGGGCTTAGTTTTTTGAAGAGCTGTTAATCATTAATGACTCTTGAGTTCAGAAAGGTTTACTGTTTCCTAATTTTTTTTTCAATTTGGAACTTGGAAAATGTTCAAAAAGTAGATCAAATGTTTGGAGTTTCCTTGAGTTCGTTGATGTTTTGTCACCTGTATGTTGGCTATGTTTTTTCGATCGAATTTTTACCAAATAGAGTTTCGATTTGTTGTAGCTTGTCTTTCATTTTTTTTGTCGAAATACGCTCTGTAGTAAATAGTTCTGTTCATTCTGTAAGATTTCAAATGCCTCAAGTTTAAAGCGAATCGTTCGTTGGTTCAAGTTTTTCGATATAACGTCATTATTCGGTTTACTATGTAAGTGTAAAATAATAAAATAAAAATTGTTTTTCTTTATTTTTATGAACTATTCATAGGAAATTACCAGGGTATAATTTTTTTTAAAAGCCCGCGGTGGAAAGTTATTTTAAGTAATGGTTAAGCATGTGAGTATAATTGTTTTCATAGTTTAAAATATTTGAGAAAGTGAGCAGTTTGATAGCATTATTAATATAACAAACTTTGCAGTGTTTGGTAGATTTTTATAACAGACAAGGAGCTGCATGACTTGATTTTTAACTGGTTCTCGGGTATATTGTATTTTATAACTGCTAAAAGTCTAAGCACGCTTGAAGTCCCGGGTTGACAATAAATGCTTATCATACAATTTTCATATATGAAAAAAATGCTTATCATACTCCTTCATACAATTTCATTGAGAAAAAGTAAGTGTATGAAAATAGCAAATGAAAGCTTTTTTCCATACTATGAAATTTTATTTAAATTTTTTTTTCCATACTCTGGAATTGAAATTTGAGCTTTTTCATCAGTCTTTTTATCGCCAAAATTGTATGAAAAAAAGCATGATAAGATTTTTTATACTATGAAATTGCATGATAAAGATTTTTTCCATACAATGAAATTGCATGATATGCATTTTTTCTCCATAAATGAAAATGCAAAAAATTTTTGTTTTGAAACTTGTTTTTGTCATAGTTAAAAACCCAGATTTTAACTAGCAGTTACTACGCAGATTAACTGCATTTGGTGATTTTAGCCATGTAACTTAATTTTAACCTTTTCACACGGAATTATATACCAAAAATAAAACTTTGTATATGGCTAGATAATTTTTAGTTTGAAAATTTTGGTGGTTGAGAAAAAAGCCTGTTTTTTTAACAATTTTATTTTTATCTTAGCAAATGAATCAAAAAAATAGTAATAGTGTTTACAAAAAAAAACACTTTTTGTAATTTTATGTTTTTTTTTGGGTGAAATTCTCATCCTGGACTACGTTATAAACACAAAAAGTCAAATTTTGCATGCAACATTTTTTTCGCTAAATTTAAATTTGAGCACAAAAGCAACTTTGCAACCAAAAAAGGTATTAATTTTTTTTTAGCTCAAATTTGTGTATTTGTTTGAGAAAATGCATATCATACATTTTTCATATATGAAAACTAAATGATAAGCATTTTTTGACCGAAATTAAAATTATGCTTTTGATTGTCGAAATGCCCTCTATCTTAGATATAATTATTTAAATCTATTTAAGTTTCCCAGACACGGTTTTTGGTGATACTGAGAATATTAATTTTTCTATGGCAAAATGATTATCTTATAATTTTCCTACTTGAAAATTGTATGAGAAGCACTATTTTATCGAAACTTTCAAATCAATTATTAATGGCCAGAAAGCTTCAAGAGAGGCAAATAGACCAAAAAAAAACTTAAAAAACACCACTTTTTGAATTTTGTTCATTAAAAATTAAAAAAAAAACACTTCTTAAATTTTGTTAATTAAAAATTTAAAAAACTTTTTTTAAATTTTGTATGAGTTTTGTATGACAAGCATTTTTTCCATAGATTTCCGAATGCCAAAAGATAGTCTAGCTTTTTCTGGTCAGCCCCTTTCGTCAACACTTGGAACTTGACGTAGGCTTCGAATGCACTATCCACGCAGTTTTTAGCAAAATAATCTTCCAGCTTCGCTAACAAAGTTGCAACACCATTTTCGTGATTCAACTCTGCAAGTGGTATTTCTCGCGCAACATCTCTCTTTCGACCTTGAAGTGATAATACTATCGCTGGAGCTCTTTTTGGTTAAATCTGTAACGACCAACCAAATATCAATCTCGCTCTTCCAGTTGTAAGGTTTTTCTTCCGTCCAAATAGGTGGGGATTTGCAGTTTGCAGAGGCCATGATGGTGATCTCCTGCTACCATGTAAAAATAGGTAAAATATCAACGTAAATTCATAACCCACCTGGATTAGAGACTAATTACAAACCCAGTACTTGACACTATTAATGGTTTAACAGCTCATTCTAATTTCAGGAGGGACTTGAAAGATTAATAAAGAATCAGAATTTTTTTTTCGGTTCAGTTGGTGTCTGCTCAAAGATGGTCGGCCAGTTGCCACATCACTGATTTCTCAAATTGGGTTACTTTTTTTCAAAACCCCAAGCATAATTGTTCTTGAAATTCAAAGAGTTTTGAGAGCATACATTTTTTTCTCTAAAATTCGAAAGTTGGAAATTCGTCCCCCCTAAATCCCCTGATGACATCATTCCAGACAACATTTCCGCAGCGCCTCTGATTCCTGTTTTGAGTTGTTGGGGTTTGAAGGTGGTTCTGATTCTTTGATATATTTGGTAAATCACGAGAAGCTATGCTTTGCTTTTAGTCTATAATGGGAATGCTAAATTTCTTAGTATTCTTTATTGACGTAGTATTCTGTTTCCTATTTATAGGTTCAAATCAAATCATCCCGCAAAGGTGGAGTTTCTTCAATTTGTCTTTTTTTTCAGATAAAAATGGGAGTTGAAGTCGACAAAATCAGGAAGGGATTCAAACTGTGAGCTGATATAAATCAAACCGTTACTTTCTTTTCTATTAAAAATAGGTTCCCTGAAAACATGTCAATCTTTTCAAACAGGAATTGGATGAATTTACGTGACGCAGACACGGGCAAAGTTATGTGGCAGGGAAACGAGGATTTGTTAGTAATTCTCTTCTATGCTTTCTCCTTCTCCATTTCTGGACCAATTCTGATCAATAATTGAGTGTGTTGAAATTTCAGATCGTTACCGGATAAGGAACATGAAGGTTAGAAAATTGTGAATTCACTTCTTTTCACGTGAATGGATTGTTGAAAAGGGCCCCTAAATGGTAATTTATTAGAACAGTTCATTCTTAATATAGGACTTGAAATCTTATTTCATGTGCATTCATTTCCTGATTCATTAATTTTCCTTTTTTCATGTGTAAGCCATTGTTTTAGCAAGGGTGCCGAAGAGAATACTCAAGTGCAAAACAGTATCCCGCGAAGTGAATTTTTCATCCAAAGAAGTCATGAACGATTTCCATCTTGTGCAGCAAGTCATTTTCAAAGGAAAGCCAATTGAAGGTAATTTATTGTAAGTTCAATGGAGTAGCTAACCTTTGAAAGCGTTTCATCACAAATTCTTTATTTGTTTTGCTGTGAATGACGTGCTTTTGCAATAAAATATGCAAAGACGCTGGCCATGTGATAATTTTTATGCTGCAAAGTCGACTGAAAGATAATTTACCATTTCAACTAATAACTTGGCCAATGATTCTTGACTCGCTTGTTAAATTTCTGCTTGTTTTTCGCAGAGTGGGTGTTTCGGTTTGGCTTTGTGATTCCCGACTCGACCAACACATGGCAATCCACAATAGAAGCAGCACCCGAATCACAGATGATCCCATCCTCTATTCTCACGTAAATCTTGTTTCATTCACTGCGATAACTTCACTTAGTCAACTCGCGTGCGCTCATATGCAGTTCATGAAAAGATCAGTACGATCGACAGCGTGCGTTCAATTGGCGGCGTGAAATTTTTTTCATATGCACGCGCGCAAGTAAGCTGTAGAGGTAGTTTGAAAACATGTTTCAAAGTGAGAAAACAACTGTTTTAGCATGTATAAAAATTAACATGAACACATAAACGTTTCGTTGACAAAAACATTTTCGCAACTTTTTTTCACGCACTCGGGAAATTCATTCACTATCCTCGAGAAGTCAAACTATTCCCTCATGCGTGATAAAACAGTTGCAAAACTTCTACTTGACTGTTGTTTTTGTTCTCAGCCATAATTACAATATGATTAACCTACCCTGCCCTTGTGATTAGAATCACCGAAAACCATTAAAAAGTCATTTTTGAAGTAACTTGGCGGAGCATCAAAGCATCAATGAAGTCTAATGGATAGATGAAATAATTTTTCTATGCACGAAAATTAGCATTCTAAACGCTGTTGCCCTACTTTGTCAATATTCTTCTCACTAGTTTTGTCATTTGAATACGAAAGAGGATTTTAAAGCGGTCATTACTTGTATATTTAACACAATCACAGTATGGGTCAGATGAAAAGGCCAAAGTTTTTCGAAAGAAGTCGCTCAGTTCATTACCCAATTCAGTTTTTTAACAGCGAGAGCTATATATGCTTGCGACCTGGCCGAATGTTCTTGCACTTTATAGAGTTGCTTTTTGTCGTGTTCTTGGTAGTGTTTTCGAGTCGAAGTTTCGCCTCTGTGTTGAAGATTTTTAAGCGCCCATGGCGCAATAGCTAAGATGTATGACTCTTAATCTCAAGGTCAGTGGTTCGGTTTTGTCACATAGCAGATGTTTTATTAGTTTTTGTCACTAAAGCTACTTTTAAAGCTACTTTTTGCTGTTTTTCTCTTGTGCTTGCGAATTTGCACTTTCGCCCCTGAGAAAATTCAGATTTCGTGTTTTCTTGTACAGTTAGGGCTTTTTTTGCCTTCTCCTCTGTTCCGTCAACTCTGCTTAGCAACGGTTATCAAGTCGGGTAATTTTTTCCTCTTAAGGGGAAATTTTTACAAAATTGCATTTCCGAAATTGAGTGACTTTTGTGTGATTAATTGAATTCTGAAAAAGTTATATTGCAGCTGGCTTGTAGGGTACGTGCCTGTTTTTTGTGCCATGTGATTTTTTTTTCGAGTGAATGCTGTAAGGTAGATATATTTTTGATCTTCCCGGTTTCTCAAATCTTAGCGATTTTTGTCAACTGTCTATTTTTCTCGATAACACTGGTTGTGTTGCATTAGTAGTCCGCTTTTTTCTTCGTAAATTCTTGATTTTGCGAAGATATTGCGTTAATCAAACTGCGTGTTCAAGCTATAAGCGCTGCGAATTAAGCATGCGTGAAAGTAGCAGAGCTCTTGAGATACTCATTGGCAGATTCTTCTGAATCCTAAAATGGAGATCCGAGTTCGAATCAAGCTGTTTCCATTTTGTTTTAATTGGTTTGCTTTCAATGCGTATCTCCACGTTTATAGCGTTTTTCTTTTTTGCTGCGTTAAGAATCACTTTTGGAAGTTTTTAGCTTGTGCTTGCGAAGTGCAGCTTGTCCTCTCGTAAAAAATGCTCAGTCAAAGCGTATTTTAGTTTTGTATCTAGGTTTATATCATTGTTTTGATCATTTTGAGCAATTTTTGAGTGATTTTTCGACAATTGCGTCAACTCATGGACTCATAAGTAATTCTTTTGAAAAAAAAATCGTTCTTTTTATAAACAATTTGCCAGCGTGCGAAATTTTTTATCAAAAGTAGCTGTTCACTTTAGATTCTGAGTACGTTGAGGCTTCAAACGTGAACTGAGTTGTTTGCGAATTTTCCCTCCTGGGCAGAGCTTGGAAATTCAATGTCCATATCACCAATGTGCATGAGATACGCATGGTGCCTGTACTTCGATTTTTTAATATTTCTCGTGGTTTAATGTTATTTCGAAAAAAAAATTTTTTTAAATGTTTTAAGAGATGATTTTAATTTGATCATCAAAGGCCAATGAAAAATGTGAAAATTTCAATGTAAATTGTCTTTTTTCAGGAAAAAGTCCTAAATTTTGGTCACGGCAACTTTGATTTTTCTGCGGTATGAATTTTGGTTTTATACACTTGGAGTGTTATTACGAACCTTCTTTTTTTCTCTAAACTAAATCGCAAATAAAAGTGTTCACTTATTTGGAATTTTCACTGTAGCATTGGAAATTGTATAGCAACTGTTCTCTGCTTTATTTGAGGCTCTTAATCTCTAGGTCGCAGGTTCAAATTTCAGAGGTAGCCGAATTTTTACTAATTCGAGGCTAATTTCTAATTTTTAGTTATTACACTTTATAGAGCTGGTTTTATCGTGTTCTCACAAGAGTTTGCGAAGCCAAGCTTTGTCTCTGTTTAAGTTGGCGCTAAAACACGTGATTTTTTTAAAGTTCAAAAGTGGATCTGACAGTAGAATAAAAAAAAATGCCTATTCGTCCAGCTTTCTCTAGTGGCTAGTTTTATGAATAAAAGTGTCGATTAAAATGTAAACAGCTTGATTGTGGTATGTTTTTTTTAATGTCCTAAGTTTTGAACTTCTGTTTTTTTTTGTTTACACAAGCAAAGCGAAGTGTATTATTACAAATAATTTTCTATTCGAACCTAAGTCGCAAATAAAAGTCATTAGTGCCCTTTCGGTATATTTCAATTTCATCGAGTTTAAACGTATTTACGCATAGGTAATTTAATAGCATATAAAGCTGATTTGTTTTTGGCTAGTGTTAGGTTATGTTTGAAAACAACAGGTGTTATGAAAATATACGGGATTTGTTGATTTTTTTTTTTGCGACCCTTTGGAAAGTTTTTGAACTTTTCGCAAAATTTCATTTTTTCTCAAAAACTACTGAACCAATTTTCGAAACAATGGTGTCATTGGAAAAATTGGCTGCTAGTCTATGTGCCTGCATATTTTGCTAGTCTCTTGTTAGTTTACACCACGTTCTACAGCGTTCGAAAGTTTCAGTAGGGGATTTTTGAGTTAATTGATTTTGAATTTGTTCATTTTATCAAAATATAAATGCATAAATCTGAGATGAACGTTTAGACTAAAGAACTAATCATTGGGATCTCTCCTTCTCAATCGGCTATTCCCTAATTTCGGAAGAAAAAAGTTATGGCCTCAAACAAGCCCATTTTTTGACATTTGGTTAGTTTTTATATTTTTTTGACTTTTCTCAAAAACTACCCTGCCAAATCGGAGAATAAGAGTTCAACCGGAAGGAAAAACGTGTTATGCGAGGCTTCCCTGCGCAAGCGGCTATGCCCTGCGTTTTGAAAAAAAATGGCATTAGAAAATGTACAATTTTTGAAAGTTTGCCCATTTTTTGGATATTTTTTTCTTCAAAAACTAACTTGCTGATTCTGAGGTTGATAATTCATTCAAAATATAATAATAATGATTAGGTTTTTCCTGTTTAATCTGTTTTGCCTTCTTTGTTATGTAGAAGGCCAATATGGACATCGGAAAAATCCATTTTTTTGAAGTTTACCGTTTTTTTAAAGAAATTTTATCACTGTTCTCGAAAGCTACTAGTTAAAGCCGATATTAAGGATTCAATACCTGCATCTGAGATAATTCCCATGCTTTACTAAAGAGAATTTTGTGAATTTAGGAAAAGCCAACTGTTTCAATTTTTGATCGGTTTTTGGAATCTTTTTCTTTTTTTTCGAAAACTACCCAGCCAAATCTGAGATAAAGAATTCAGATGAAAGACCGATTAGTAGTCTTTTTTAATATGCAGCTAATCAACTGCTGCTTTATCAGAAAAATCACTAGGGTTTTGCGTTAAGTCCATTTTTGAAACATTCAAAATTACGCATTTCGGTATCAGTACAAAATATGATCAAAATATTAAAACATGTGAATCTAGCATAAGCTGGGCAACTAGTTTTGCTTCCAAGCGTCCGTGCGAGGAAGTGGAAACCCTAATCAACCGGTAGGAGATTCGAATCCGGAACATTGAAATAGTTAGTTTTTTTGGTCGAGTTTTTCCTGCATCGCATTGGCAATTTAATATAAACTGCAGCTGTTTTTTTGGTGGCTAGTGTTAGAAAAATGACAAGCGGTCATGAAGCAGATGTGAGAACGTATTACTCCCAAGCCTTGCAAAAAAGTTTCTCAAGGTGTCTTTTTAACCTTTTCCTTATTTCACTTTGTTTTGCCTGTTTAGAGATTTTTTTGCATTTTCCTCGCTTATGCTTGCGAAGCGCAGCTTCGCCTCTGTGTTTAATTCAGTTTATTGACATTTTTCATTTTGTTTGTTGGCTTTGTTTAGAGGTGAACAATATAGTTTGATTGATTAGGATTTCTTAAACTTAAATTGTTTTAATCGAAAGTAAGAAATTATTTGAAAAAATAGCTCCAAACATTTGTCGTCAGACTCAGCAGCAATTGAAATATGGACGAGAAAAAGTTCTTATTGATTTGATATTCTCAAAATGCTGAAAATTTTGGAAATTTTTAAACAAAAAATCTCTCATTCTCCTTCCGAGATATACTTTATAAATTTCGATGTTCTCAATTTTGTCTGTTATTTTGCGTGCTATTAGCCAGCGTCATCAAATCGGAACATTTAAACTTGTTTAACAGAATCATTGAATCAGTTCCAGTGTTTGCTTTATTATAATTTCGACTTTTTCGGCACACTAGTCCTAACGTCTATGCTTAAATTGACAAAAGCCTTGAGTTTCAATCCAGCCAGGACCTGTTACCCTTTTTAAAAAAATGTTTGGTAGGCTATGGTTTATCTGCTTGTTTTTTGTCGGCTTAGTTGACACAGCACGGACTTCAAAAATGCAAAAAAATTTCTGCCAAAAAATGAAAAAGAAATGTTTTTGTTTTTTTCTTGTCATTTTTCGACAAAACCATTGCCCAGTTAGCTT